GGGGGGGGGGGGGGGGGTGTCTGCGATTGCCACTGGCTGACTCTGCTGACAGCATCTATAGGTGGTCACCAACACTAGTCAGTGCTCGCCACCCCCAACAGTGCTGTGGCTGCCTGAGGGAGCTTACCATGCCCCCCCAGTCTCCAGGGGCACTCAGCATCCATGCCTAGCCCCTTCCATGACACGAGGTTTGTGCGCACTCACCACCAGCAACAAGTGCACCTCAGGGGTCAGGGCTGCACTGCCACAACAAGGATTGGGCCCCTCCCAGCTCCCCCCACCGTCTGCTCCTGGCATGCCAACATCTTACAAGTCGAGGATGTGGATGTTTTTGGCACTCTGCCCAAAAACGCTGCCAACCCCTGTACTAGGAGCTCACAACTGTAGCTAGCACGGGTACCCTAAACAGATGGAAGGAAAATCCCCTTTTAAAGAACATCATCCACTTAGTATTTCAAAATTCTGCAGCTAGATTCCTTCAGTGGCTTTACACATCTACCATTTAGGAGACTAAAGGATTCACAGCACCATGTACTTGCACTCCAGCTTGAGGGGTGCAGGAATCCCGACTAATTTAGAGATGCCTCATTTGTTCTGGAGGACGCCCTGCCCAGTCGTCTCAAAGAAAGGTAACCATTGCACCAGGCTTAGAAGGTGGAGTTATAAGTCTGGGAATGGGATTTCATTGTATGGAAGAAGAGGAAAAGATGTACTTGGAGACAATCTTGAATTTCCTAGATTCTACTTTCTAACTTGAGCCTTCTAGCGTGCTACAAGACGGAACATCACAAAATTAAATGAACAAAGGAACAAACAGTCCTCTCCACAGAGCTATGGGTATTCCCCCTCTTCCCCATGTTTTTGGAAGAATATCTTCCTGAAGTGTACCACAGTAAGCATTTAGAATAATTCCCATCTCACCTCAACTTCTGTACTAGTACACGGCTCCTCAGCCAAAGCGGCCTCTTCCTCAGCTCTATGTTTTTTCTCTTTTTTCTTTTTCTTCTTTTTCACAACTTCGCCTTCTTCTGCATTTGCCTGTTCTGTACCTGGGAAAAAAGGAAAAGGAGATGCTATCGGTGCTCATGAAAATTTACAGCAGAAGGACAGCTTGCATTCTCTGCTTAAGGCTCAAGCATCCCAAATAGATCCACATGCCTTTACCACTTATCAAAGTACTTCAACTTGTTTCTGAATTATCCTGGGAGCACAGTCCTTAAACAGGAGAGGTCTTCCCCAGCATTAGCAGTTTAATAATATTTTGACCACAGCTAGAATCAGCTGAAGGACACCAGAATCCAAACGCAAATTCACTGAGCCAGTAGCAGATTTCAACTGAGTCCAGCATCAAGTTATAAGAAATAAACCAATGCCTACACATTAAAGACAAACAGGAATACTTTAATAACAGGTGGACTTACACAGACTGAAGTATTTGCAACTAACATTTCAACATTCTGCTAATGTGCAAGACTGAGCAAACCTAGAGATACTTCCCCTGTTCAGACAGAATAAAGACAGAGACATATATTGGATATATGGTGAAAATTCTATTTACTAAAAATGGCTTATAGTATGCTGGTTAGGCCAGGTACACTCTTACCTCTCTAATTTAACCTTTCACAGTTCGTGACACCAGACTCTGGAACAGAATCCCCAGGTGTGGGGGCTGTGTGCAAGCACCTACCCTGAAGATCTTCAAAAGGAGACTGCTGGGTTATTTGACCCCAGCAGTCTTTCCTGCCCAGAGGAGGGGGCTGGACCTGATGATCTCACAAGGTCCATTCCAGCCCTAAACTTCTGTGAACCTTATTTTTCAGACCCATCTTCCAACAGTTATCTTATCAGAATACATGGGCAAGTACAGTATAAGTTACTACTAGTGACAACAGAACTTCAGGAACCTGCAGATAAGCAGAAATTATTACTGATCTGACACCCTATGTGGCACTTGTGCTCCAACTGGCACCCTACCAAATCACGTTTTGCTTAACTAAATCAGACTTGAATACTGGGTTCCATAGTGTCACGCCTTGCTATGCATAAGTTCAGGATGCATCAATCAATTCTTCATCATCCACAGAACTGGCATGCTGACACCAGCAGCATCTGTGATGCGGTACAGATGCTACCAGAAATGCAACTTGAGGAAGCAACACTTCTCACAACACTCCCCAAAAAGAGAATCTATTCTGAAAGCATAGGAGAGCTAACACATTAACACCAGCAAAAGATAAAAGAAAGCCTCACACACAAAAAACCAAAGTGATAATACACAAACTTCCTATTAGCTCTGCTGCAATTTCACACATTTAGATCCTCAAAGTAACAAACAAGACACAGAACTCAAAAGACTGCATCAATATCTACTTCAAGTCCAATCTTAAGACAAAAATAGCATGGGTAAATAAAATGTCTGCCTTTGTCTACAGCAGAATACAGCTAATATCTGCACTTTTCCAACATAAAAAATGTTTAAAGCCACATTAGTTTTAGAGGGTTCCAGGTTAAGGAATTAGTATGTACAATATATTAATGTTATATTGTGTGTCAGTCATGTAAGTCCAGCATGCAAACACACTGCTTCTAATACATGCAAACACATAATTATAGGATCACTTGCGACTGTTCATAACATGTACAAAGAAAAACCTGAAACAAATGGCATGTGTACAATTATTCTGGTATACATTGGGGGCGTAAATTATTTTCTGAGTCACCATTGTTGTACTGCAAGTTTTCATTCATCTGGACTACTAAGTGAAAGAGCATATTTTCAGACACAGTGCTGGGTGTTACCTTGGAAAATGAGCCTGTACTATTACTGCGTGCGTCATCAGCCTGACATACTAGGCTAAGGGAACCTGTCTCACAGATTACTATGGGAGCTAATGTATTCAGCGCTCGTGAGCTGTGTCAAGTTGTTGGCAGAAGGCTGCTTTCATAAAGGTTTAAACTGCTTGTTTCCTGCAGAGCTCATCACAAGATTTCAAATGTTTGTACCAGGACAGAGTAAAGATAAAGGCTCCTGGGACTCTGTTCTTCCCCCCCAGTCCAGCACTTAAGTCATTCAGCTCAGTGGGGTTTCTTTGCAATACACAGTAGTTGACAAGAACGCCAAGCACCTTTCCCATCAGGCACTGAAACTCAACAGCACTGCGATAACTGAGCTTGACTAATGTCCTTACACTGTGCTGGGACTGTACCCCAAGTTCTATTCATGTGCGTCCGCTGTTCAGTCTGTTAATAATATCCATTTACATACCAAGCTTTTGTATATAGATCATTTAATTTCTTCCAGCATGCATATGACAGGTCGAATGGTATATGACTAACATTGTACACAACACCATGATATACAACCCTGTCATTTAAAGCTGCATACCCTGCAGGGTTCACCCCATTAATTTCTTTAGGATGACAGTTCTCTCTTAAAAGTCCTGTCTTGCAAGAAGTCATACCAGTGTACTATATGAGCTTTAATGAAAGCAAAATGCTTTACTGGAAGTGCTGGCTAGCGTTAGTGCTAGCAACAGCCTCAATTATTCTGTCTAACCATGTAAGCTTCTATGGATTCATACCATTTTTCCCCACACTGGTTTAAAACAGGCTGGTGTTAAAGGGACAATTAACAACTAAAAACTATTAGAATTTAGTTCAGGTATTGCCCCTGCCCCTGAATATCCCTGCCATCCTTGGGGAATTTAAGAGCCTTTTAAAAAAAGGCTTTTCCCAGTGTGGGTTATTAAGAGACAAAGATTCAAGTTGGTGTCTGTATAATGCTGGAAGACAAGAGAAAAAGAATTAGATTACTGTATTTAAAAAAAAAAAAAAGACTTGAAAGCCCAGAGCAACCTAAATGAACTTCCTGAATGTGCTCCAGTTTTGTATACTTTACAACACACAACTATTTGCCAAAATTGTGAAACTCTGTTCTCTACTGGAAGACAGTGATGTCAAAGTCTGTCTAGCACATGCCAGAGAACACCAAAATTACATTTTAGTGGATGGTCAGACTGTAAAGTAGAAAGAATTTACAGTGGATATCTAGTTGAACAGACTGTTGAAAGGAGTAGGATGTACATTGAGAAAGCAAGTATACAGGTACTTTTCTAAACAAAGATCTATTTTGTAATTCCACACACAGAGAAGACAGTGGTTCTTAGTTCCTAATAGTTCAACAGTGACTTGGAAGTGTACATTGTGAAATAAGTAGACACAAAAGGTGAGTATTAACATTATGAGAGTGTGAATTGAAAAAGCGTAAGGTAGTGGTTCTCAACATTTTTAAATTCAAAGCACCACTCGGAAAACACCAGCTTTTAGCTTTCACTAATTTTTTGACTATGGAAAAAATAAGAGAGCAAGTCTGTTGCAATGAAGAAAAAAACCACAACAGGTCAGAATGCTTCTAACACAATGGATTTTTATATGAAATTTCTGGGTTTATTTTGTGCATCATGTTGGCATTTGCACACCTAATGGTGCTAATATTGTGCATTACCCTTGAGAGAATCTCATGGCACCATTAAGAGAGTCATTGGTATAAGGGGCAATGAGAAGGGACTGGTCTGTATAGAAAAGGGAAACAAAACCTTGGGAACTATGACTGCCTTGGTTTGTACAGCACCCAGCATTTTAGGGCCTCAGTTCTCATCATGAAAATAACATGAAAATAAAGACAGCTGGCCTAAATGGAGCTGACAAAAGGGCTAGCTGAAAAAGGTAGGCTTGTAAACATTAGTGCAAAACCTATACACTGCTAATATTGGCCATTACAAAAGAAGTACACCTTTGTTTTGGTACCAGAGGACAGAAATAAAAGGATGGCATGAGGCAAGTTTGAAATGCCCTCAACTTTGTGTTCCAGGATCTCAGACTCTATTCCTACCTTAACATTTTTTTCTTTATTTTTAAGAAGATTTTAATGAAATTCTTCCTGATAAATCTGTGTCGCTAGTTCTTGCCTGGGGATCATCCTGCCTTTTAGATTGTATATCCAGCTGATGTTCCCCACTTTACTGGGAGCAAACAGAACTCTCTCTGCCTCGTACATGGAATTATGAGAAATCCAAGTGCCCTGGTCGGCACAGCTTAACTTTGCCAAATCACTCAAACAGCCCGAAGTCACTCCTGCCCAGGAAATTCTTGGTGGTTCAAGTTTTCCAATGGCTATAGCTAAGCTCTACACACTCCTCCAGATGTTGAAAGAAGCACATACTCAATGAGCCTAAATCAAGCTGACAGATATAGTGTTTCTAACTGAAGGTATGACATATATTAATATGCTTGTGAACAATAAAACTCACCTTCCAGAGCACACAAATATCTACACTAGAACTGCAAATATAATTCCACCCCCACCCCCATGAGGGATCATAATGTAAGAAACATCTGCAAGGCAATAAATTTTTGGAGGAAGTCTTGGGGAAGAGATATAAGGATGTACAAGACAGGTTTTTATACTATAGCATTATTTCCATAATCTGCCTTTATATGGAAAAAAGACTATAATCAAGAGAGTTAATCTGACACTGGCAACACATTCAGAAGGGTCTCAGAAACAGCAGTGAGCAGAAGACTCGTGTACTTCAAAAGCAAAATCAGAGTTAGAATAAGGAGGCACAAGAACGTTCTTATTCTATCACAGGGGTCAGCATCAGCTCCCTACCAGTGTGTGCATCTGTGCCTCGGTGTGGGTGGTGGGGGAGGGACCTGAGGCAGCACAGCCCCGGTCTCTCCCCTGCTTCTGGCACGGAGGTGATGGCAGGGTTCCAGAGCCTGACAGCTGTTTGTAGCCAGCCTGGGCTCTGGGCAGCTGCAGCAAGCAGGGGGCAGGCTGTAAACAGCTGTGCTGGGCTCCACAGCTCTGTGCTGGCAGTGACCCCACACACAACTCGGAGCAGGCAGCGGGCCAGTGCAGCCCGCCCTGAGGTGCCTGTGCAGTCGCCGCCAGCACAGAGAGGATGCTGGAGCTGTGCAGCCCAGCACAGCTGTTTGCAGCTGCCTGCTGCAGCTACCCAGAGCCTGGGCTGGCTACAAAGAGCTGCGCCGGGCTCCGGAAGCCTGCCACCACCTCCGTGCCAGGAGTGGGGGAGAGACCGGGGCTGTGCTGCCTCAGGCCCCTCCCCCACAGCCTGCTCTGATGCATGCATGCACATACTGGTACAGAGCTGATGCCAGAGCCCAGCACAGCCGTTTGGAGACTCCTGGCTGCAGCCGGCCCCAGCTCTGGGTAGGTGCTGCTAGCCGGGAGCCTGGGCTGGGAGACAGGGGCTTTGGCTGGGGGGCAAGGGGCAGCAGGACATCCTGCCATGTACCCATTGCCCTCATTTTGTTTTTCTCACACGCTGGCACTTTGGCACCTTCCAAAGTAGGCATTGTGGTGTTTTTTGACAGTCCGGCCAAAAAAACGTTGCCTACTCCTGTTCTATCATCTTGTTGCCCAGTATCAGAACAGAAGTTGTAACCCAGACCAGGACCTACCAGGACCTTAAAGTTTATCTGTCCAGAGTGGTAAGACAGTGGCTCCAGTCCTTGCCACTGCACCAGAACAAAAAGGACCATAAAATCAGAAAGCCCAAAACGGAGAGAAAGACTGCCTCAGCATAAAACTATCTTGGAGTGGTGCAGAACCAGTGTAATTGCTCTGATATTACACCTCTGCCACTGCTGGAGTTGGGAGTATGAGGGATACAGAGAAGCAGCTCTGTGCTCTGGCAACACTTACAGGCTTTGCCAGCTGGGGCGAGCACTGCAGTTGCTAACTTAACTTGAAGCAGCTCACAGCCAACCCTAACTCAAACATGTGCAAAAGTGAGTGGGGTTAAAGAGATCTCTTTCCCCTTCTGAGTTACTGTGTTCTTCTTTGCCACAGAGAGGATTAAAACATCTATTTTGAGGCTTTATATGCACATCTGCATGCATGCACACCTGGGGAAAATGAGACAACTTTTTAGTGGCACCCTGTGACAGGGAGCCTGGGGCTCTTGTCACTTTAAGAGGAGAGAAAGCTGTAGTTAGGACCCAGGGCAGCTGAACAGAGTCTAGCTGCAAGAGGGTAGGCAGCCAGGAATGCCGGGAGCTGCATTAAGGGGAGGGAAACACCTGCAGCCAGTCAAGAGACCATTGCCTAGAACAGGCTGACTGCAGCTGGGAGACCACCCAACTGTTAAATGAACTGGCCACCAGCAAACAGATAGGTGGCAAGCTGCACGCAGACCTGCCTTGAGAGGGTAACTTCCTTGGGGAGAGGAAGAAGAGTAGCAAATTGTACCCAGACAGACAGGTAGGGGCCCAGAAGCAAGGGACTGCTGGCTATTCTGCTAAGCCCTTGCTGAGAAAGCAGGCAGGTCAGACACAAGAAGGGAATGCACCTTTTGAGAGCTGCAGAGTCGCATGACTGGTCAGGGCAGGGCTCAGCAGGTGCATAAAGCCAGTGCTTGAGAGCAGGCAAACAGTCTGGCCCTGCAAGCTACTATGTATGGAAGACGCTGTGGACCAGGAAGTCTGCAAGGGAGTGCATGGCTGGCCACTTTGCTGCTTTGGAGCCATCAGTAATGCTCTGAGGACTTGCAGGGAGGGGAAGCTGCCCAGAGTAAGGGAAACTTTGTTCATATAGCCAGCAAGCTGGGGGTTATGCTGAGAGTCCATGAGGCAGCCTGTTTTGGGTTACAGCCAGAGGGCTTTTAGTTTAGTTACAGCTGGAAGGCTTGCCTTTTGAATATAGTTTAGATGTTGGTTTGGGTTTGAAACTATTGGGGAGGTAGAGATCCTAGCTGTGCCTGAGGGGCACATCACTACTTTTGCTGGCTGGGCTCACAACAGCCAAGAAAGGGCCAAGGGCCCAGTGGCCACATAGGGTGAGAACTAGGGCCAGGGACCTGTAGCCCAAAAGGCATGAAAACCAGGGATCAGGGACCTGCAGCTCAAGAAGAGCAAAACAAGTGGCCAACAGGGGCGAGAACTATGGTCAGGGACCCGTAGCCCAAGAGGGGCAAACTCATAGCCCAAGAGGTGCAAGAACCATAGCCCAGGAAGGAAGAGATTAGTCCAGAGGGGCAGAGACCAGGCATCCAACTGCTCAGAAGGGCAAATTCTGGGGCCAGGGGCTCAGAGCTAGAGAAAAGGGCTAGAGGCCCTGAGATCCCGCCAACTGACAGGGCTGAAGCCAAGAAGGCTGGACCTGAATCACTGGGCCAGGGCTGAAGGGTTGCAACCAGAAAAAAGGTGGAGGCCTCTACAAGGGACAGAATGGTATTGAGTAAAACCTACAAGGCTTGGGCACAGCTGTAGGGGAGGTTGGAGGCCCCAAATAGCCATTAAGGCAACGGGTACTCTGAGGCATGTATGGGCCAGGACAGCTCATCTAGTGAAGGGTTGAATTTGGGCTAGCAGGGTCCAAGAGGGGAGTTGCTAACTAAGGTAGGACAAGGGCATACAGTATGGTCACATCTTGCATGGGGGTTAGGTTCTAGAGTCAGCACGTAAGGCGAAAATCACATATGGTCAAAATTACCTTTGAAAAATCAGCTGGCCTGCACCAAACTCCCGCCCAGCCAGCATGCACAGCTTCCCAGCAGGGCTGCTCCCAATGTAGCTGCTTGGCCCTGTGCACAGCCCTGCGGGAGGCAGCTGCAGGCTACACGCACGCTAGGTCCCAGGAGCTGGCTGGGGGTGGAGGAGAGCCAGGGGGCTTGCCCAGTGGTACAATCCACTCCCTCCCGCAAGGCAGCCTCCCGCAGTGCCCAGGGCAGCCTGCACAAAACTCCCACCTGGCCAGCGTGCATAGCTTCCCAGCAGGGCTGCTGGCCCCATGGACAGTGCTGTGGGGGGCAGCTGCAGGCTGAATCCAAACAACTAGCACTCCGGGGCATACATGTATGATGAATTTGCATAAGTTAAATGGACATATGATGCAACTCTACTGTACTCTAGGACTCTGGGGGAGCTTCTCTTTGAAAAAAATCAATATTACATCAAGGTGTGGCAAGAAAGTGTAAAGGGAGACTATTTAGAGCTAGTACAGAGCAGTAGCCTTTGGGACACCAGGGGCATCATGGCTTTGGGACACTGGGGGCATCTTTATTATAGAAACTAATAGTCCCATAAAAATTAGAATCCAAGGTCTTTTACCTGGTAACTCACGACAGAATGAACTGGTAACTGTGTTTAGATTTATCACTGTACAGTAGAACATATGCATTTGTTCATTTTAAAACACATGTCTAAGTGCAAAATCTCCTTATAACACTTTTATAGGTCCTTTGTTTCATCTGAAATTCTAATTTTCCTAATTTGGTCATGGATTCCCTGGCCACTGGATAATATTTATCCATATTTGTAAAAAACACCAAAAACAAACCTCCCACATTAAAACCTATAAAAAGTTGGCACACTGATGTAATTCTGTAACTTACAGTGAAGGCCAGAGTTTTAAATCCCCTCCACACAACAACACTTCAACGCTACAAAGACAGTACAGTTTTGTATGAACACACAAATTACAGTCCAATTTTAGACCACATTTTGGTTTTTCCTTTTCTTAAATGTAATGTCTATAGACTTTGGAAAACAAATGCAAATGCTGACAGGCCAAACGTCACCCTAAATCCCATCATAAAATGCATACAGCGAAGTGCAGAAGAGAGATACAGACACCAACCTTTGGGTTCCAATTTGATCTTTTTTGCTTTTATTTTAACCTCTGTCTCCTCTTCTACCACCTCCTCAATTTTGCGCTTCTTTGCAACAGTAGGAAGCGTAGAGTCACCAGATGGGTCAAATATTTTCACTTCACTGGAATGGAGAGAACAAAGCCAGTTGTTAAATTAGAAAGGAAGGAAGAAAGTGACAGCGTGACAGATGAGATCAAAGAGGTGATATGCTCACTTTCTACTGTCTATCAACATTATCTCACTGGAAAAGTCTCAATGAAAATGGCATAACTAAAAGAGTAAGAAGGACTAGTGGTAGCCAGGTCTGTTTGCAGACAGGACAGCTACTGGGATTATATTCTACAGAACACGACTTTCATTTGCAAGGAAAGGCCCAGTTCAAATGAAAGTCATTTTTGCTTGCATTAGAAGGGTGAAAGATTTCCAATTCTACTCTGATCAAAGAGTTCAAGTGACCCATTCAGTTGATTTCTTAGTAGTTAAGGCCTCTCCCCTCTCATAGGTTTCTATAGACGGAAGGGACCTGGAAGATCAGGTCATCTGCTTGGCAGTGTGCACAAGCATTCCCAGAAATACAGAAAGGATGTCCTGTTGTTTAGACAAGGGAGAGATTTGCAAAGTACAATTAGATACACCATTCCAATCAGAGCCCAAAACTATCCTCCCAAATACTGCAGGCCCCCCTCTGACAGCCTTTGCTTAGTTCCAGCTTCTTTTACAACTGTTCAAAATACAGCAATCCTCATTAGCATATGTCCACAACTCTCTACCCATCCCACTCCTGTTGTCAGACATCTTCTATCTTGCAACACCTTTTCCAACCCCTGGAGCAGTCAAAGGGTTATCTTAACTAATGGCAGGTACTTGCTAAGGTGCCTTGTCTGAAGACAAATCAGTTAGCAGTAATTTCTACCAACTGACCTGTGGTTTAAACACAGAATCCCAAGTTACATAAAAGGAGCAATGTTAAGACAGCATAATGCTTACAAAAGTAAAACATTTCAAAGTAAGGAAACACTGGAATTAAGGTACAGTCATAATTCAGGCTCCTCAGGCATACACATTACAATATATTTATACGGCCACAGAAGTAAAGACTATTTTTTCAACCTGTTCTGGAGACCAATAAAAACTGCATACTGAGGAAGCTGTGGCCTCAATAACTGCAGAAGACAGAATGCATGCAGCAAATATTACATGGGTTGCAGGTACTGAAAGGCAGTCTCACAATTAAGGCAGATGAAGGTGCACTAGAGAAATGGATTCTACCCCATCACAGAGCACATGCTACTTAACTGAAACTTTTCCAAGGCAGTTATGAATTGCACAGCAATTACTGTCTGGCTGTCCATGCTGAAACCCTAAGGAAACATTTGCAGAAGTGCTGAGCACTCACAGCTGCAAATGAAGTCAGTGGAAGCTGTGCTCTGGCAATCAAAGTGCTACAAAACAGCTTCATATCTGGAAAAAAAATAGGGCCCCAGGTGTTTCAAACTAAACACCCAAAATTAATACTTCAGGCCTTAATCTCTGTATCTCAATTTCATCACTGTAAAGTGGGAATAAACACTTTTTTCAAAAAGGAGTTGTGAAAGAGATTAAGTTCTTCACATATATCGATTAAGACACTGGTATAAATTAATGCAGTTCATGAGGAAAACTAACAACCGTTTTCAGAGTGTGGTTTTAACACAACGAGCAGCAGAGTACATGCTTTTTCTCTCTCTCTTCAATTTGCTTATTAACTGATGACTCAACATGTCTTGGGTCCTGCTGACATAACAGCATGGTCCCGTGATTAAGGACTACATGTAATGCACACACAAAGGGGACCAAACAGAAGTGGCATTGGAAACCTTGATTCTGGCATTTCCCAACCTCTGAATGCTTGACTTGACAACCATAATTCTCTTGCAGCACTTCTACATCTACATTATCCTAGACTTTTAAAAATGCAAAAAGAAGTGTTATCAAATAGCATGATACTGACAAACTAGCAGGTCAGAGAGCTGGGTTCCCCAGGTGGATCTTCTAACCTTAGTGCCATTCCCTATCTCACCTCCATCTGTCTTTTCACAGTTCTCTCTTAACGACTCAAATACTTGGCATCTTCATCTCTCATGGGAAAGGGAAAAGGGAAGATGTCCCTCATCTGTCACCACCCCCAGCCCTCCTCTGTGATGGTCTCAATTTGGCAAGATAAATATTCCCTTTAGCTTTATCCCACCAGTTAAAATACTTTGGCTGAAATTCCCCCCCCCCCCAAAAAATAAAATACCACAGCAGACACCCAGCATGGAGAATTTCAGCCAAAAAAGCAGAAGTGAGACAAAACAGTAAGCAACTGAAATCAGGGTCTTATGCTGGGAAGTGTCTGGCAGTCTTACTGTGGAGCATGTACTGCTGCCTATTACGTATATCCAGTATATATTTTTTAAATATGTACACCACTTCTGCCTAATACAACCTATGCTTCACTTTGTGATAACAAGAAGAAAACGTATTAAAGTAACCCGCTTGGTCATCACTACAGTGCTATTTACAATCAATGAGCTTTAACCTGCTATTACAGATGGTCAAATTTAACCCCTTGTAAGGCTCCCTCTCTCCTTTAGAAGGGCATGTTTGGATGCTTCATCTGAAACCCATCTCAACTAAATACATTAGGACTGATTTTAAGATTCACTGTATGCACATGGGGGCCACAGGAAACAATTATGGATCCACTCTCAAAAGAAACTGTACTCTTGCTGCTTATAGATAGCTTTGTGTAGTGGCAGTATTGTAGACCACGAGGCTTGGCCGAGGCGTGATTATTGCTAGTTGAACTTTCATATAGCAGAGATTCTTGTCATCCTAAATGAAGTGTGAAAAGGGTATTTCTGAGCAGACTAGCAGTGGCCACCTTGCTCAGGAATTAGCTGAGCACAACTGGCAAGACAGGGACTCTGTCAGATTATAACAGATGCTCGCATCCTGCTTCAACGTCGG